TCATTTGTTTTAGGGCATTGGTCTAGGCTTCCCTATAACCTTCTAACCATCCAATAATAGGGTACCATAATCACCTTCACTTAGGAGGGTTGCTTGTCTTGTAACTTCATCCAATGACCTAGGTTGAGATCTATTTGCCCATGTGGGCGGATCTTGATCCGGGTCCAGTAACTTACCATTAATTAATAAGATGAATGTTCTAATAATAGGCGATGTGAAAATGGTTGACACATTCTTTGCCAATGTGTTTAAAGATGGCCGATCTGAAAACAATTGCCACCTTCCTTCCGAATATGTTTGAGATGAATCTTTTGATGTAGGTCAAGTTCCTAGAGATGTTAGTTGGCTATTTATTTTAAAAAAGTCTTTAAATTGGTAGAATCAATTGTAATTCCATCTCTCACACGTAAAATCAAATTCCAAAGACACATAACCCTTAGTTTTTGTTGTAGGACCTTTTGTGTGGAGAGTAACACTAATGTTGTTACTTACCTGAAAAAACATCAATATTGTTGAAGGGATTACAGGGAAAATGATATAATACCAGAAAACATCATGGTGTCTGACTTAATGGAAGCTATAACTTATATCTTATATTACTAATAAAAGTATTACCTTAGCATACAAAACTTTTGATTCACTATTTTTCTTTATAAAATATTATAAAGGCTAATATGTCCTTTTGTATTTAAATATACAAATTACCATTATAATCCTATGTATTTAAATAACAAACTAATCTGTAACAAATCATGTAAATCTCTCTATATTTGTAAAATTTTTGAATGATCATGTTATGGTTAACATTATATATATATATATATATATAATATTATTCTTTTTTTTCAAAACCCAATATTAATACACGTCGATAACTCCATTAATACAATATTATCTCCAACACCCAAAAGCGGATATATATCGTTTCTCTTCNATCTCTCTCTCTTGCAGATATATAATTAGTGTATGCAATTTTAGAAACAAACCAGACAACACACTTCTTGGTACCCACAGTTCCAACGTAAACTTTGGATGGATACAATCATATGTAAACCATGCTTATCGGTTAAACATAAATTTTATGTGACCAGTAGACTTTAAGTCAAAACATGTTAGTTTGCAGAATAATGTTATATGGACTTAAAAAGTAGACTTGATAATCACAACCATTGAATAGGTAATGGGTCCCAATAATACTGAGACTCACAGTGAAATCATGGTTGTAATTATTAAGTCTACTTTTTCAGTTCATATAACATTGTTGTAATTTGTAACTTGATCTTTGTTCAAAAAAAGTTTCATTTGTTGTTACCCGTATTACACCTTTTCAACTAAATTGAACCACTCCTAGCTAATTACTGAGGGAAGAAGAATTACTAGTTAATGGGAACAATTATCTTTATTTACTAGCATTTAATTATCAGTTTTATTCTCAATTTTCTACTATCTCTTATCCTCAATAATTCTAAGCGATTGTTCAAACTAATTTCTTATCATGCATAACTGTTAGATCATTTACTGAATTATCTACCCATCAAATAACTCTTCTTTTTTGAATCTGGTTCATGAGTTACCATCAGAGCAGTTTGTTAAAGCAAATTGATTGTCACGGAACCTAGCTAGGATGGAAAAAGGAAATATGTGCACTTTTTCATCTGTTGTTTTATATGCTAATTAAAGTCACCATTGGCCCCATGAAAAGGCCCTACAAGGCTGTGGCCAATAGAACCATTCTTATGTGAAAAACCAAGAGAAATGCCAAAGCTTCTAACTTTGTTTTTTAAAAATAAAAAGTATATATTTATGTATATAACAATGACTATATTTGGTTGTAATCGTGGAATAGTTTTCATTAGAACCACTGGTTTTCTTAATACCAAATAATTGCTTTGGTGATGGATCTTATGATGATCTTATTTTTATATGCAAGAGGACAAATAACTAAAAAGAAAACCAATACGAGCATAAGACTAAGAGCAATATTACGTTGACCAAATTAACGGACAAAATGAACTCATGCCATTAAATGAGAGTAGATCTCAATATTTGGTTGAGCTGTTGTATATTCAACNGTAAAAATCATTAAATAGTTAATAAGTTTTAATAAATATTTGAATCTATATTGAAATCAATGACAGTAATTGATTAAGTTTATATTTTAAATTCATATAATATTGTTCGGTTAGATATAAAAAAGAGCAGGATTTAATATATTAACTTAATTTGTTAATTTAATTAATTATTATTATTAAATTGATAATGAACATCACTGGTAGTTGAGATTCGTCACCAATTTTATGGCTATGAGATATTGGATCAGCAAATTAAATAAATAAATTAAGCCCAAATAATGTTTTTGCAGATAATTCATTTCAAATATTTTCTAAATGTGCTTAATCATCTCATATTTTAGCTAAATCTCCAAAGCGTCGAGAAAGTAAACTTAATTATTATTTAGTTTGTTGAATCTTTTCGATACGTTTTTTGAAAGAGTAATACTATTTGGATTTAAAAATTTGACATAATTATGTGACTTTAGTAGAACCATTGGATCAACATAAAATTTTAATGTTTGATGGGATTTATATTCAATCAAAAGGTTATAGTGAATTAAATTAACAAATTAAGTTAATAAATTAGACCTAGTAACATTGCTCTAATATATATATATATATTGAATATGAAAAGTAACGCGAAAAATTATTGACGAGCACGAATTTGATTGGGCTAGACCCAATGAAAACAATCCGAGAAAGCTTGAAAGAAAGTCTAAATCGAAACTGGATCGACCTATTGGAAAGGAAGACACCAAGAGGACAGTACAAAAGCCAATGGCCGAAGGAGGAGGAGGACAAAGGAGCCCTTGGGCGCCACCCATGGCAGGCCCTTAGGCGCCGCCTAGGCAGACCCTTGGGCGCCACCCATGGCAGCCCTTGGGTGCCCCTTCTCTTGATCCTCCTCACCTTGGTACTCCAAGTCTAGGTCCAGGTTCAAGCCAAGCCTACTCAAGACAAATCCAAGTCCAGGTCCAGGTCCAAGCCAAGTCTACTCAAGACAAGTCCAGGTCCAACTAATGTTCTCCTCCGGATGAATAGGAACACGTGGGAAGATAATATGGAGATAGATATAGAAGATCTCCTACCACAGAAATACTTGCCAAAGCAATAGAATTCTTCTCCTTCACGTCACCACCTCTTCTACCTTACCCTAGCTATATAATGTAAGCCCTCTCAACTTGAAGAGCCTCCAACACCTCCAAGACCTTCGAACCTTACACTCACTGTTTTCTCTTTGTCTCCCCAAAAGCACTGTATCTCTCTAGAGTACTATCATTCATTAACATCAATAAAGAACACAGGGCACCGCTGTCATTCCCGAGAGTGGACGTACGTCACCCGGACCGAACCACTATAAATCTCGATGTTGATCTATTATTTACTATTTTACTCTTAATTGTCATCGATTGCTTGTTTGTCACCCATTAATTGCCCATTAATCACACCCTTACACATACTTGACTGTTGATCTTGCACGAAGACANGGGACAAAATGAACTCATGCCATTAAATGAGAGTAGATCTCAATATTTGGTTGAGCTGTTGTATATTCAAAGAATATATTATATTCTCAAATTCAATCTCTATAGTAAGTCCAACTAGTACTATTGTACTACTAAAGCTTTCGATAGAAAACTTGGCAATATACGGTTGTAAGGGGCTAAGTTGTTTATTTGATTTCTTTTACAAGATTCTTTGCAGGAATTATTGCTTGAGGCACCACCTTGCCTGTTTATTAAGCCTCTATCTCATTGTTTCTTACAAGATTAATGCTATACAGTCAACTTATAGGAAACACATCCCTTTCGGACAAAGTTTTGGAAGAAATCTGTGGACCCAAATAAAAAAGCCAAAAAAACAAGTGGTAGGAGTGGGGGTGGGGTTGAGAGAGAGATAGAGAAAGAACTCTTAAGTGACTTATGGGAACAAGTCCCATGCCACCATCCACGATATGTTAAGAGTACCAAATACTTGCTTTTTCGCCTCTCATTCCTAGGTTATCATCAAAAGTTGTTACAACATTATCTTCTGCAACTGTTTTGGCTATAAAGCAAAGCGTCACACAAAATTAAGTGAAAAAAAAAATAATGGCTTGTCATTACTCACCACACAAAATTCATACCTTTTATAAAGTAAAATTTCCGGGTTCATCTGCCTATTATTATAAATCCGAAAATGGATGAAACAAAAACATGGCAGTCGTATATGATAGTAAGAGACAGTGAGACTCTCAGAGACAACCCGAAGCCACCCAAACTAGACCATGATTGCGGGATATACATGAAGCAATGATTTCATTTCCAATCTTGGTGCCTTAATTTGAGATCTATTCTTGCTCTCTAAAGTTTTGTTCCTTATATTATTGTTGCACAAGATCCTGGGGGAAAGGGGAACAATCGCACCAAGGATTTGAAAAATCGGTTCCTACTATATTATGGTAATTCTTGCGATTATAAAGAGGTCAATCTTCCGAAATCATTTCCTTAAGTCACCCTAAGAGATGTCCAACATATTCATCCACACTAAGCATGATTCCAAACTTAGCTGACAAGGCAACGGAAGAGACTAAGTGGTGAGTGAATGCACACCACTAGTTTTGTGTTTCTGCCCGTGTGCACAAGTAGAAGTCAATTAATTTCTCTGAGATCTTGTAGTGACAGAATTTTTATACACAGTATACATTTGAAAGCATTGAAATAACGTGTTTTAATGTTGGCAAGCACAAAAGTCATAGTATTTTTATATCTCCAAATGACATTTTAATTCTTACCGTGTAACGTTTTCATATTAACCTAATTAGCCATATGTTCATCAGGTGCCAACAAAAAGTCATCACTGAAAGTTGTTCATAGGCATGGCCCATGCTCTCAACTGAGTCGAAACAAGGGCAATGCTCCAACCCTCACTGAGATCCTTTCTCATGACCAAGCCCGAGTCAACTCAATGCACTTGCGACTCGCCTTCAACTCGGGCAAAACAAGTCTCCAAGACTCACAAGTCACCCTCCCAGCACAATCCGGCAGCTCACTCGGCACCGGCAACTACTTCGTGACCGTCGGAATTGGCACCCCAAAGAGAGACTTGTCCCTCAGTTTCGACACCGGCAGCGACCTCACATGGACTCAGTGCCTGCCATGTGTAAGTGTAAAATCCTGCTATCAACAACAACAACCCAAATTCGACCCATCACAGTCCACTTCATATTCTAACATCAGCTGCAACTCAACGCTGTGTTCTCAACTCAACTCCGCCACCGGGAACACACCAGGTCAGCGGCAGACCCATATAATGCTCAATCTTCTTTTGAAAAATGGTTTTTCTAAGTGTTTGGAATTTTGGATAGGGAAATGCTATTTAAACTTAAAATGTAGACTTAATCAGTAAAAATCATTAAATAGTTAATAAGTTTTAATAAATATTTGAATCTATATTGAAATCAATAACAGTAATTGATTAAGTTTATATTTTAAATTCATATAATATTGTTCGGTTAGATATAAAAAAGAGCAGGATTTAATATATTAACTTAATTTGTTAATTTAATTAATTATTATTATTAAATTGATAATGAACATCACTGGTAGTTGAGATTCGTCACCAATTTTATGGCTATGAGATATTGGATCAGCAAATTAAATAAATAAATTAAGCCCAAATAATGTTTTTGCAGATAATTCATTTCAAATATTTTCTAAATGTGCTTAATCATCTCATATTTTAGCTAAATCTCCAAAGCGTCGAGAAAGTAAACTTAATTATTATTTAGTTTGTTGAATCTTTTCGATACGTTTTTTGAAAGAGTAATACTATTTGGATTTAAAAATTTGACATAATTATGTGACTTTAGTAGAACCATTGGATCAACATAAAATTTTAATGTTTGATGGGATTTATATTCAATCAAAAGGTTATAGTGAATTAAATTAACAAATTAAGTTAATAAATTAGACCTAGTAACATTGCTCTAATATATATATATATATTGAATATGAAAAGTAACGCGAAAAATTATTGACGAGCACGAATTTGATTGGGCTAGACCCAATGAAAACAATCCGAGAAAGCTTGAAAGAAAGTCTAAATCGAAACTGGATCGACCTATTGGAAAGGAAGACACCAAGAGGACAGTACAAAAGCCAATGGCCGAAGGAGGAGGAGGACAAAGGAGCCCTTGGGCGCCACCCATGGCAGGCCCTTAGGCGCCGCCTAGGCAGACCCTTGGGCGCCACCCATGGCAGCCCTTGGGTGCCCCTTCTCTTGATCCTCCTCACCTTGGTACTCCAAGTCTAGGTCCAGGTTCAAGCCAAGCCTACTCAAGACAAATCCAAGTCCAGGTCCAGGTCCAAGCCAAGTCTACTCAAGACAAGTCCAGGTCCAACTAATGTTCTCCTCCGGATGAATAGGAACACGTGGGAAGATAATATGGAGATAGATATAGAAGATCTCCTACCACAGAAATACTTGCCAAAGCAATAGAATTCTTCTCCTTCACGTCACCACCTCTTCTACCTTACCCTAGCTATATAATGTAAGCCCTCTCAACTTGAAGAGCCTCCGACGCCTCCAAGACCTTCGAACCTTACACTCACTGTTTTCTCTTTGTCTCCCCAAAAGCACTGTATCTCTCTAGAGTACTATCATTCATTAACATCAATAAAGAACACAGGGCACCGCTGTCATTCCCGAGAGTGGACGTACGTCACCCGGACCGAACCACTATAAATCTCGATGTTGATCTATTATTTACTATTTTACTCTTAATTGTCATCGATTGCTTGTTTGTCACCCATTAATTGCCCATTAATCACACCCTTACACATACTTGACTGTTGATCTTGCACGAAGACAATTTTGTGCATCATCAGTTTGGCGCCGTCTGTAGGAAACGACTAATTTTTCTACTCACTCATTCCCCGGCAATCACTACCCGATCGATGAGCCAGCAACCGGGAGACAACAACCCAGCTCACCGGGAGGAGGCTTTGCCTCCCACTGTACCTGTGGAACGTTTCGCTACTACCACTCCCGCCACTAGACAGCAGCAACAACTCCTCCAGACTATGAAGCTACTGGTGAACCAAAACCAGCAAATCATCCAACTCATGCTCTCCCAAGGAGGCGTCGCCCATCACCCCGCAAAGAGGAGTCCCAATCCCTCCAACAGGAGAGGAGCCGCTACTTGTCCTTTCCGGGCGCTAGGTCTCTCGCCAGAATGTTCCAAGGCCACGGTCAGGGAGCCCCTCGTCAAGCGATCCCTCCTCAACGCGCAGGGAGCACACATGTTCCCCTTTCACATGTGCCTGCGCAGGAGGACGAAGGAAAAAGTCAATATGGAGACCACGAGAGCCAATACCATCACCCGATCGAAGATGTCCCCAACCAGTGGGACGAGAAGATTAGGGAAGTGCAGGACCAGCTTGGTAATGCCCTCAACGCTATCAAGGCGCAGGTGCCTGAAACCGTGGACTATCTGGTAAGGCGCACTGATACTCCTTTTGTTACTGACATTGTTAATTACCCGTTGCCTTCGAAGTTCAAGATGGCCACCATCGAGATCTTCGATGGCATCAAAGACCCCATCGACCACTTGGACACCAACAAATCCCTCATGTAACTACACAACATGCCTGAGGAGATTATGTGTAGAGCCTTCCCTACCACCCTCAACGGCCCCGCACATCAATGGTTTGCAAATATCAAGCCCTCATCCATCCACTCCTTCATAGAACTCAGCATGTCCTTCGTCTCCCACTTTATTAGGGGACATCGATATCAGGGACTAGTGACCCACCTGCTCACCATCAAGCAGGACAGGGATGAAAGCCTGAGAGACTATCTTGTCTGCTTCAACGAGGAGGCTCTCCAGATTGAGGAGCCAGATGATAAGGTATCTCTTGTCGCCTTTATTGCTGGCCTGCGCACCTCTAGTTTCATGTTCTCTGTCCTCAAGAAACCGCCCTCTAGTATGCACGAGCTGCTGTCAAGGGCACAGAAATACATGAATGCTGAGGACGTCACCAAGGCCCGTCGAGGTGAGTCTTCCCAAGGAGGGGAGAAGAGGAAAGACACCAGTGAAGACAAGTGAGACGCGGAGAACAAGAGAAAAAGAACCGAAAGAGTTTCTGTGAAGGACCGTCTCGGTCTATACCCCCCGAGAGACCGACAACCTTTCACGCCACTCAATGCCTCAGTGGAGCACATCCTATTCTAGATACAGGATGACCCCACGCTCCGTTGCCCAGGAAAAATGAAGTTCGCCCCAAACCGTAGAAATCACAGCAGGTACTGTCGCTTCCACCGTGACCATGGCCACGACACAGATGATTGCAATGAGCTCANTGCTTCCACCGCGACCATGGCCACGACACAGATGATTGCAATGAGCTCAAGAGACAGATAGAAGAGCTGATACAGCGTGGTCAGTTGAGGCAATACGTTGGTGGCAGAGGACAAGCCCTGCCAATTGGTTGTTACCAAGACGACAGAGAACGCCAACAACCCCTCGGAGAAATTTAGACAATCTCTTGAGGGCTACAACTCCGCCAAGGAAACATCGGCCCACCAATGGGACACGCTTGAAGATTTTATTTATCTTTTACAATTTCAGTTGATTTATTTTGTTATTCATTATTTTATAAAATTTGGCAAGATTAAGGTTTTCATAATTGTCTTGTTTTCATCTCAAATAGCCTACGACCTATCAACAACAAGGCAGACAAAAAGTCAAAAGGCGTCCAAATGAGGGGTCTCGCCCTCTCCACCTTAGGCGCCCCCATGACGGTCTCGCCTTCTCCACCTTGGCACCTCATTCGATGTCCCCTAGACGATAGGTCTCACCCCCTCTCACCAGGCGGGCCCAAACGATAGGTCTCACCCCCTCTCACTAGTGCCCAAATGAGGGGTCTCGTCATCTCCACCTTGGGTGCCCCCATGATGGTTCTTGCCCCCTCTCACCAGCCACCCAGCTTCAATTCTAACTCATCAACACCCTCCTCATTTCCATCACAGTGGAATGAGTCTCAGGCGCCTTGCTCCTTAGAGCCCTCTTCATCTCCATCTCAATGGAATGAGAGAGCCCTCCTTATCTCCATCTAAATGGAATGAGTCTCTGCCACATCAGCCCTCTTCTGAGCTATACATAGTTGTACCTCTACTCCCGAACAGCCTCAATCACTAGCTTAGTGCCTTATTCATGAGCCAACCCCAATTGCTCCACAGGCATTCTCTCGTGTATGTCGCCCGAGCCCAACTTGCTCTGCGGCATCCTCTCTTGCCTGTCGTGCTAGCCCTACTTGTTTCGCGGCATCCTCTCGTGCCTGCCGTTCGAGCCCTACTGCTCCATGGCATCCTCTCGTGCCTACCACTAGAGCCATACTTGCTCTTCAGCAACTCCTGTGCCTACCTCTCTGATATCCTACAGGCCCAAAGGCTCTCGTTCATCAAAATCAGGTCAAAGTAGGACAACTATGTGGAGCTACAGTCCCCATAGAAGATCGCACAAGAGTCTCAACTCCAAAGGCTAGCTCTAGAAGTCATAGTCGGGGAAGGAGTGGGGGCACCACTAGATCTCGCCTCCCAAAAAGCAACCTAACCATCAAGCGTTGGTCAAAAAGTACTAGGGGCATCACCCTCTTGGGAGGAGGAGAAGACAACACAAAGAACCTCCACCTCCATGATCGCCGCCCAGCTCTCCCTCTCGCCTAGAAGAGGCGCCCAAAGCAGTCTGCAATGCTGTCTGCCTCGCCTGTCAAGCTGACGTCGCCCACCAAGTCTCCCCCCCTATATTTGATGCCATATAGGGGTCCACAGTAGGGAAGGCATTGCCCAGCAAGGCACTGGCGTCGCCAATGGGGATGGGTCCTCCCATCTCACCTTCACAACCGCCTAGTGCAAGACCCATGGCGTCGCTCACATTGCCCATGGACTCCTCACCAAAGTCACTTCTCACTTTGCATCAAGGGGAAACAAAAAATAATAATAATAATAATAATAATAAAAGAGGAGAAGATGGAGGCAGCGCCCAGCAAGAGGAAAACCAAGAAGGAAAAAAAAAAAAGAAAGGGAGAGAGAGGAAAGGGAGAGAGCAATGAAAACCAAGAAGAAAGAAAAAAAATAAATAAATAAGAGAAGGTGAAAGTGGCGCCCAGCATCAAGAAAAGAAAAAAAAAAGTTGAAAAGTCAATCAACAAAAAAAAAAAAAATTTGTTTGATGCCGATCAATATAGCGGAGTCCTAAAGACGAAAAAACAAAAAAAAATTTTATGCTCACTCGAAGAAAGACGAAACACATGCCCTTAATCCCTTCTTCTCTATGAAAGTCAGAGACCTAGAGCATGGGGGGCAAATGACGAGCACGAATTTGATTGGGCTAGACCCAATGAAAACAATCCGAGAAAACTTGAAAGAAAGTCTAAATCGAAACTGGATTGACCCATTGGAAAGGAAGACACCAAGAAGACAACACCAAAAGCCAACGGCCGAAGGAGGAGGACAACGGAGCCCTTGGGCGCCGCCCAAGGCAGGCCCTTAGGCGTCGCCTAGGCAGACCCTTGCTCTTCTCTTGATCCTCCTCACCTTGATACTCCAGGTCCAGGTCCAGGTCCAGGTCCAAGCCAAGCCTACTTAAGACAAGTCCAGGTCCAAATCCAAGTCAAGCCTACTCAAGACAAGTCCAGGTCCAACTAATGTTCTCCTCTGGATGGATAGGAACACGAGGGAAGATAATATGGAGATAGATATAGAAAATCTCCTACCATAGAAATACTTGTCAAAGCAATAGAATTCTTCTCCTTCACATCACCGCCTCTGCTACCTTACCCTAAATATATAATGTAAGTCCTCTCAACATGAAGGGTCTCCAACGCCTCCAAGGCCTTCAAATCTTACACTCATTGTTTTCTCTTTGTCTCCCCAAAAGCAGTGTTTCTCTCCGGAGTACTATCATTCATTAACATCAATAAATAACACAGGCCGCCGCTGCCATTCCCGAGAGTGGACGTAGGTCATCTGGACCGAACCACTATAAATTCTGGTGTTGATCTATTATTTATTATTTTACTCTTAATTGTCATTGATTGCATGTTTGTCACTCATTAATTATCCATTAATCACACCCTTACACATACTTAACTGTTAATCTTGCACGAAGACAGTTTTGTGCATCATGGATTATAAATACACTTAATAGGATATTACCAATATTTGTCTATTTATTGTTAATTTTTTTATCTTATTACTGGTAAAATTTGCCCCACGACATTATACTCACCTTCACGCCTAAACCAGGTTGCTCGGCCTCCACATGCCTTTATGCCATACAGTATGGCGATAAATCTTTCAGCATTGGGTTCTTTGCACAGGAAAAGCTCACCCTAACATCCACCGATGTGTTTAATACCTTCCTATTCGGTTGCGGCGAGAACAACCAAGGACTCTTCCGCGGAGTTGCAGGTTTGCTTGGACTCGGCCGTGATAAGCTATCCATTGTGTCACAGACTGCTCAAAAGTACGGAAAATTCTTCTCCTACTGTCTTCCATCGATGCCGAGCTCCACCGGACACTTGACTTTCGGAAACAATGGAGTTCCGAGCACTGTGAAATTCACACCGCTGTCTATAAACACACAAAACCCATCATTTTACTTCATTGACCTTAAAGCAATAAGTGTGGGTGGACGACAATTATCTATCAGCCCATCGGTATTCTCAACCACCGGCACCATTATAGATTCCGGAACAGTCATAACACGCCTGCCTCCTGCGGCTTACAGCGCCCTGCGGACAGCTTTCCGGCAAGGAATGACAAATTATCCAATGACAAAGGCAGTATCGATACTCGATACTTGCTATGACTTGAGTAATTACACCACGGTGAACATTCCAAATATTGGTTTCTTCTTCGGTGGAAATCTGAATGTTGACATAGACTCGTCGGGGATACTTATTGCGGCGACTTCAACGCAGTTCTGTTTGGCCTTCGCTGGAAACAATGATACCTCTGATGTGGGTATTTTCGGGAATTTTCAACAGAAAACGTTGGAGGTGGTGTACGATGTGGCTGGAGGGAGACTAGGGTTTGGCTCAGTTGGGTGTGCATAAACTGAGCTAATGGCACCATAAAACCTTTGTGATAGGCCTTATATAAGAAACATGGATTGAATTAAGCTAGAACGGGTGTGTCTACATTTACACGAACATGATGGGAAATGATAAAAAAATAGTACTAAACACTTTGAAAAAAAGTATCAGTGAATTGTCCTCAAAAATTGGTCTCAGTATTTAATCACCCTAGTGCTTTGGTATTAAGTTATCTTAATGTTATCCTTTTGGGATAAATCAACCTCATGTTTTATGATACTTTTAATGAATATTCTTGTTGTTGGCGACATTACATTTTCTTTCTCTTTAGATTTGTATTTCATGCCCTTTCAACAAAAAATTATACCTCATGGAATAGCCTTCCATTAAAATAATTTGTTGATCTAATCAATTCCTACTATTGAACAACTTGTTAAATTAGGCTATTGTTGAATATTCAATGAAGTTTTATAGTGAACTCAATTACAATGATAAACTAGGTCAACAAAATAATGAAATTACAAACTAGATTCCAATGGTAGTATTGTTACCAAATTTAATAAAAAATACTTGAACTAACAACACTAAGTTGTGAGTTCGAATATAGAAGGTCTGCTACTGTGTGTGAATAGTGACNTAATAAAAAATACTTGAACTAACAACACTAAGTTGTGAGTTCGAATATAGAAGGTCTGCTATTGTGTGTGAATAGTGACGAAGTTTAATGGAGGCCAAATGAATGGTAAGCTTGGAATAAGCATTAATGGATTTTTGGTCTAATTGTATTCTTTGTTTTGTAAAAATTTTGCATTTTGAGGTCTATGGTTCAAGTCCTTAATCTCCCCTCTCCCTCTAAAAAAAAAAAAGAGCTTGGAATAAGCACAAAATCTTAATATATATATATATTCAGTTTCACTCACATTTGCTGTACTATATATATCAAACCCACTATAAAGTCTGAACCATCACACATAAACAAATATCAGTTTAGACCTTGAGTCCACACGCTTAGACCCCAGCCCAACTCCTGTACTGCTTCATCAATGAAGCCCAACGGTCTGCGACATGGCTTAATGATGTAAGGGCATCTTTAACTTTAACTCAAATTTATATTCAAATTTATATTTAAATAAAAAAATCTAAAAAATTTGCTTTAATCATTACTCAAATTTATACCAAATCAAGAAAGACTTTTTTTTTTACATAAATTAATAGAAAGTCAAATCCTTACCAAAATCTTTAATAGTGAGATTTCACCATTTTTTAAAAATTCAATAGCCATATTTACTCTAATTTAATTTTGGATTTGCCCTCATTTAAATTTAAGTTTCTCCTTCTTTAAATTTTAGTTTGTCTATTAAAGCCATTTGTATCAAATCAAGTTTTTTACTCAAATGCTAACTTAAATTTGAGAAAAAATTTGAGTCATGGTTGGAGATGCTCTATTTTTTTTTTTTGTTGTTGTTGTTGGAGATGCTCTAATGATGACTTTTGGGTGAGAGTACATTTTTTAAAATTTATTTGAGAGAAAATGTATTTATAAGTTTTTTTATTCTATTAAGTTCATTTTTACTTAAATTTCTTGTTATTAGGTACACAATTCAGTTTATTTTTTATTTACCTTTCCTTAAATAATGCATAATTGATTGACAGTTTATTTTCTAATTAAATATGTAAAGATTTGATTAGATTTATCATTCGCTTAAATTTTGAACATTTATTCTTATTATTTCACTTACTCTCTTTCTTAGCTTTCCTCTCTATTTTCTCTTACTACTACTCTCTCTCTCCCTCTCCCTATTTTCACTCTCACTCCCCTCTCCCTATCTGTTACTCTCTTATCTCTCTTATTTTCTCTTTTCTATTGCATATTCAAGGCACAATTACTTTCTCTCTTAATTTGAAGTTGGTATTCTTAAACGTTATTATATTGATACTCTAAAAGAGCTACACCGAAAAGGTCATAACTAATTGATAATTTTTTTTTCTTTTCAAATATGTAAAAATTTGATATAATCAGATATTAACGTTACACCAAACAATTACTTTTACATTATCAGATATCAACGTTATACCAATCAGTTACACTCGCGTTATGATACACTATAGAGTTACACATATGTCTTGATAGACCAAATAGTTACACTAAATAGGGATATGAAATGACAACACCATAGCCAATATATCATTCAATTGTTTATATAAACCAAAAGTTACACCATTTAGTGTCATCATATTATTACACCAATTATATACATTAAAATTGGTGAACCAAAAAAACACACCAAAGAGGTACATCATACAGGGACACCAATTTTTTTTTGTTGGAGGGGAGAGAGACTTGAACCCTTGACTTCAAAAAAATAATGTCTTCACAAGTCAAAGAATATAATTGGACCAAACGCTCATTAGTGACACCAAACAAATAAACAACATGTACATATAAAACAATAATAAGCCAAACTATTACATCTGATAGTTGCGCTATCCAATGACATCAAAAAGGTACAACAATGACATATACCAAATAATTTCACCATCAATTGCGCCAA